TCAGTTCTATTGGCTCTCTTATTTTATACATTGTGAGTTTAAGTATAAGATTATAATCATATTCTAATATTTTAACTGATATCAATTTTTGAATGTGCTCATTTTTTTTTCTTTTTCTTCTATTTCATTTCTTTTTCTTTTTAGAACTATTTCATTGTTCTTCTTTTTATTTTTCATGGAGTATATAGTTATTGATTTTAAATATCAATTTTGCTTAAAACCCTCTACAATCTTAATGATTTTAATGTAACAATTTAATAAGATTATTAATTTAAAATTTAGATTATTTATTATTTCCAATTTTATTCTACTCATATATAATCTCTAATCACAATTATTCATCATTATTTTAAAGGTTAATGCATAAAGGTATAACTTATAAATTCAAATTAAAATGATAACTTAATAATCTAAGTTAGTTAATTATTAATTTTTCCACTCTATGAAGCATAGATAATATTCATTTGAATTATGATCTAGGTTTTATTATTATCCAATTTTATATAATTTTTAATTATCATTTTGTTAAAGTTAATAAAATAATCAGAATGCATGAGATTAATTGAAGACAATATAACTAATTGTAAGCATAAGGGGAATTTAAAAAATAAACATAAAAACACAAAAAATAATTAACACTAACACATACTTTTATATGAATGATAAAAGGAGTAAAAAACATGTGATATAAAATTGAACTGAACACATGTAATATGACAATTAAAGATATAAGCGGGTTGGCTTCCAAAAGTGCTAAGTATATAATCTTAAGCCAGACTATATTAACTATTTTACTTCAGGATGAACCAATTCAATTATACTCCATAAATGATCAATAGCTCCCCTAAATAGGGTTTCAATATATGGCCATTCACTTTGAAAATATATAGGCTTCTCTTATCTTGAATTTTCATAGTTTCATAGGGAAATGTTCTTATGATAGTGAATGACCCTGACTATCAGGATTTTAATTTTCTTGGGAATAACTTAAGTCTAGAATTAAAAAACAAAACAAGATGTCTATAAATAAATTCTTTCATAAGAAGCTTTTTTATCATGACATTTCTTAACTTTATCCTTGTAAATTCTTATTTTTTTATAAGCTTCATTTCTAATTTCTTCTAATTCACTCAATTGTAATTATCTTTTCTCTTTTATACCATCAATATTAAAATTCAATTCTTAAATTTCTAGAATGCTTTGTGCTCTAACTCAATAGGAAGGTGGAAAGCTTTTTCAAAAATAAATTTAAAGATTCATACAATGAGAGTCTTAAAAGCAATTCTATAAGCCCATAATGCATCATCTAACTTAATTGGTCAATCCTTCCTATTAGAACTTACATTTTTTCCTCAGATTCACTTTATTTCTTTATTGCTAGTCTCAGCTTGCCCACTAGTTTGAGGATGATAGGTAGTAGCTACCCTATGGTAAATCCCATATTTCTTTAGGATAGTTTCTATTATTTTATTACAAAAATGACTTCCCCCACCACTAATCAAAACTCTTACATTCCAAATCTAAAAATATATATTTTTCTTTAAAACATTGATCACAATTTGAGCATCAGTTTAGAGGTTGCCACACCTTCAATCCACTTAGAAACATAATCCACAACAATAAAAACATATTAAATCCAACGAGATGGCATAAAATGTCCCATAAAATCTAATTCCCAAACATCAAATATTTCTATCTCCAAAATATAATTCAATGGCATATTATTTCTTTTGGATATATTTTTTACCCTTTGGCATTGATCACATTTTGTTATGTATTCATTCACATCTTTAAATAGAGTAGGCCAAAAACCTAAGATTAAAGAATTTTAGAAGTAGTTCAAAAATCCCCAAAATGTCACCCATAATGAGAATCATGACACTCAATAATAATGGGTTCTATTTTTCTTCAAGGACACATCTTCTCACAATTTGATTGTTACAAGATTTAAATAAATAAGGTTCATCCAAAAAATAAAACTTGATATCATGTAAAAACTACCTCTTTTGAGTTGGAGATTATTCATAAGGAAGTACACCGCTAACTATGAAATTTATAATGTCAGCATACCATGGTGATTTGTTCAAATGTAAGGAAAATAATTATTCATCAAGAAAATTTTCATTAATCTCTTGTTCATTTAATGCATGCTTTTTAATGGATAGTATAGAAAGATGATCAGCAAATAATTTTACTTTTACTACCTTTTATATCAAAAATTTTTACATCAAATTATTGTAACAGAAGAATTCACCTAACCAATCTAGGTTTAGTGTCTTTTTTAATTATAAGATATATAATAGCAGAATGCAGTATAAACAATGATTTTGTGTCAATCAAGTATGACCTAAATTTATCAAAAGCAAAGTTAATGGATAATAACTCTTTTTTAGTAGTTATATAATTACTCTATGTAGCAATTAAATTTTTATTAGCATAAAAAATGACCTGAAATTTTTTATCTCTCTTTTTTTTTTTCAAAATTGTACCCACAACAATGTCAATGGCATCACACATCACTATAAAAACTAAAAACCAATAATAGCTGAATCATTATTCAAATGATTCTTTAAAGTATTAAAAGCTTTATGACATATAGAATCAAATACAAAAGGAACATCTTTCTCTAATAAATGATATAAAGGCTTATAAATTTTAGATAAATCCTTAATGAATCTTCAATAAAATCTTGCATGTCCTAAGAAGCTTCTGATGCCATTAACACAATTAGGATGAAGTAATTTTTCTATCACCTAAACTTTTGCAATGTCTACCTCCAATCCCTTCTTAGAAATCTCATGTCCTATGACAATGCCCTAAGTTACCATGAATTGATATTTCTCCCAATTTTGCACTAAATTTGTTTCAACACATCTTTTTAAATATAATTTAAGTTCTCAAGATAAGAATCAAATATAGTTCCAAATACAGAGAAATCATTCATGAAAATTTCAATACCCTCCTCAATTAAGTTTAAAAAAATTAAAATCATACATCTATAAAAAAATAATATGAGATTAGAAAATCTAAAAAGCATTCTCCTAAAAGCAAAAAATCATAATGACTGGTGAAGATAGTCTTATCTTGAACCTTAGGTGCAATAGGAATTTGATGATAACCAAAATATCCATGTATAAATCAATAAATTGGACGCTCTGCTAACATATCTTGCATTTGGCCAAGAAAAGGACAAATAATATGATATTTTATAGTAGGTTTATTTAATTTCATATAATCTATGCAAATCCTCTAACTTGTGATAGTTCTAGTGAGTATAAGTCCATTATGTTCATTTGATATGATAGTTAATCATCCTTTTTTTTTAGGAACACAATGAACATGGCTAACTCAAGAACTATTAGAAATAGGGTAAATAATTATATGAATGGTCTTTCCATAATGAGAGGTATTTCCCTCTGTTCTTCCATATCTAAAACATTAAAATCCAAAAGGAAAATAAATTTATCAACCTTAATTATAACATCTTCTATTACCCTTTTGGATAAGTAAAAGATCTACCAGCCAATTAAATAGTAACAGAAGTAGGTTGATGAAAATCTCCTATATCTAACCTCTTAAAGATAGAAGTGGCATGAGGTTGATATTAGATCCTAAATCACATAAGGCTCTCCCATAGAATTTGCCATCAATAGTTAAAAGAATGGTAAAACTCCCAAGATCCTTAAGTTTTTCATGAAGTTTCTTTTGAATGATAGAATTACACTTTACACTTTTTAGTTAATTCTACAATTTTAAATTTCCATATCTTCCTTTTCTTACTCAAAATGATCTTCATAAATTTTACATATATGGGCATTTGTTCTAAACCTTCAAAGGAGGACATATTAATGGTTAAATTTTTAAATACTTTTAAGAACCTTAAGAACTATTTGTCAAGATTATGTTTGATTAACCTCTCAAGAAAAGGTGGTGGTGGCCTCTCAACAACATTCCTATATACTTTTCAGATTCTTTTATAAATTCAGGTCATTTAGTTGGAGATTTATTTTATACTTCTTCCTCTTCACCATCGTTATTATGAGGTTGGTCTTTAACATTTTAAGGGTCTCCTCAATCTTTCTCACTTCGAAGTTGGATATTATGATATTATTCTTGAAATTTTTTATAATGAATCAACTTAGATAGCAATCCTATCTGATCCTCAATTTTTTTAAGAGAAGTAGATTGATTGTGCAATTACATTCCTAGTTGAAATACTCTATGTTCCACAGGTATCTTCTCATTCCTATCATACTGAATTTGTTCAAGTTCTAAGGCGTAACACTGCGCTTTGAAAAATCTTGGATCTCTATGGAAATTATCATTCCCTTCTATCCTGGTTCTCACTTTCACGCTATCTATTTTTTTTTTTTTGAAATTGCAGTATCATGTGCATTCAAGATAGATAAGGCACATCATTTTGCATAGAATACTGCCACTCTCTTAGGATTCACCCTATCAGCAGACGACTAGAAATTATTGGTAGTTATTTCTTCTATTAATTTATATGCCTCTTCAAATGGCTTTGACATTAATGATCCCTTAGCTGCAGCATCTATGATAGCTCAAAGTGATCCTAGTAATCCATTATAAATTGATTGTATTAACAACCAATCAAGTAAAGTAAGATGAGGATATTTCATAAGTATTTTCTTAAATATCTCCCAACTCTCATAAATAAGTGGCATATATTCACATTTACATTTTATATACACCCATATATATATGAATTCTTACTTTTTATGTAAGAATTTTCGAGTCTATTCTCTATGGTCATTTGATTTTTTAACACACGTCTATGTTTCATTTACTCTAAAATGGAGAGTCATGCTCGATAACACGTATCAATATTGCATTAAATCAGCCCATGTCATTCTCTGTGCTCCTTCCCTCTTATTATTATTTTAGTAAAATGGTGAGTCATAACTTAATTAATTGAAATAAAAATAGAATCCTTACACATCAACTTTGAGAGCTCTGAACAAGATTAACATATTACGATTATAAAGCAAAAGACAAAAGGGAAAATCAGTAAACATGCATTCCCAAAATACGGAGAACAAGATAAAAGGAATCTCCTCTGCTCTTCCAATTCTGAAACAGGAGTACAGGACAGACTCCAGACTCCAGACTCCAACATGGAATCTATCGTGCCTCCTCCGCTGCAATCTGGGCTTGATTTTCACTTTCCATCGTCGGGAGGGAGAGATGCTACAGAAAAGGCTACGCCTGCATCCTTTCCATCATCTCCAGTGGCGTCAGACACTGGCGATGAGGTACCCTTGCTCAGGCGACTGCCATCTGCTAGCCGACGGCGGAGGGCGGTTAGCGAATCCCAAATTGCCTACCTCTCCTTGCCACCCACTCGACGCCGTTCCTTCAGCCGGGACGTTGGCCACGCCGCCGCCGAGACCTATCTCCTTACCCGACTCACCCTCATCCTCCTCCGTTATCTTGGGTAATCTGTCTCTCATCGATCTTTAGTATTCTACTTTTTTATGGTATTAATATTATTATTATGCGCTTAAATTTTTTTTGGTTTTTTTAGGGCACTATAAAAAAAAAATAGGATACACAAACTTCAACTCTAATACAAGTAAAATCCTCTTAATTCATACTTAAATTAAGCTCTAAAGTATATGAAACATCCAAATTTTGACTAATGGCAATATTGTTGATGCCTAAAATGAGTCACTTCATATAAAAAAAATAGGTGGATTTACATACATACCACTTTATTTCATGCTATTTACATATCTAATACATAAAAAATTAATATTATATGCCTACCAGCTACCATCCATAGAACAAATATGAGTGTATGAAATGAAATATTAAAATTTATAACATGGTATGACTGGTTAAAATGAATATAAGAGTATATTTGATATTAAAATTTTTTATGAATGGTAAGAATGTAATATTAAAATTTTGAGTGTTAGACATGTAAATAGCATGAAATAAAGTGGTATGTATGTAAATCCCTCAAAATATGGGGAAAATTAATATATGGTTTATGGTTTGCCTTTCTAGTTGATTTCAAATACTAGATAGGGAAGATAGAAAAGTCAATGACAAAACGCTTTGAACTCCTTCAAGTAGATGCTTCCTTGTTAGGATTCCAAGATGAGGTGATGGCCTCACAAGTTTTTGACTTAATGATGATGATTCAACAATACCTCCTCCAATAGTCTTATTGAGTCTGACTCCTTATATATTTGTGATCACTCGTTTACTAGAGAGGTAGAGTGGTTATCTTTTTTTTTGAGTCCTTAGGTCAATGGGCGGGAGAGAGGGAGAGTCGCTAAGAATTAAATCAAGTAATCAACTTTTGTTTCATGCATTCAAATGATTACACTGATTTCTATTAAGGAAAAAAACTTCTAACAAGAAATTCAAATTCAAACTTCTTTAAAATTATGAACTTGCCTAAGAAATAGCTAACAGTTAAAACTAAGACATTGAAATTCAAAATAAATCCTATTCCTTTTAATGTGGCTGACCAAGCGTGGTTGGATATGGTGGTTACTTGATATTCTCCATGGTTCCACAATTCATACATGCTCATAGGAAATCAAATTTGCATCATGTAATATGGTGGCCGACCGCTCCTGCTTTGATGGTTTGGAATTTGACTAGATATATTTGATGCGGAATATTCCTCTCAGCTTCTAAAAACTTTTGGGAACCTTGTGAAAATCTTGGGAACTCTTTGAAAGCATATAAAGTGTTTTGAAAAGTTCTAAAAGATCCTCAAATTTTATGATATTGACATCATCCTAGATTAGAGCTATCCCGTTTTTACACCTACAAAGGAACAACATACCTTTATATTGGATTGTGCTCCTCACACTACAGGTAAATGCCTATTACCGTCGGATTTTTCCGATGGAAAAATGTACGCCGGAAATTGCGACGCAGTATCCGGCGAATATGTTCGCCAGAAATGTTACGGCGGACTTTCCGACGGCCTTGCCGCCGCAAGGTTACCAGCGGCTAATACGCCGGTTTTATAACTTTACCCGCGCATAGTCCGTCGGAAATTACCGGCGTATGTACTAGCATATTTTACGTCGGCGTAACTTAAACACGACGAAATAATACCGGTGGATGCTCCGCCGGTAGACGTACCGTCGGATCTTCCGCCGGTAATTATCTTATATCGGGCGAGCCCTAGGGCTTCCTTCTCATTTCTCTATTCGTGCTTTTTCGAATCCACTCCTCCGACTTCATTCTTCCTTCATTCCTCCCCTTCGACGCTATTCGACTTCGCTCCTTCAATCGATTCACCATTCTCCTTCGACGCTGTTCGACTTCACTCCTTCGACGCTATTTGACTTCGTTGTTCGACTTTGCTCCGACAGCTCCGACGCTGTTCGACTTCGCTCCTTCGTCGAGGTTCAACTTGCTCCTTCGACGGTGTTCGACTTCGCTCCTTCCTTGCCGTTCGACTTGCTCCTTTGTCGCTGTTCGACTTCGCTCCTTCAAAGCCGCGACTTGCTCCTTGGTCGCCGTTCTTTAACTTTGCTCCTTCTTAGCCTCGACTTGCTCCTTGGTCACCGTTCGACTTGCTCATTCAGGTAACTTTCTCCCTTTCGCACTATTTGACTTCGCTACTTCGACAATATAGCTTCCACATTAACACTTGCTCGTTTGCTATGTCGGTAACTTATTCAACTTCGCTTGTTGGATCGGCAGTTACGACCTTTTAAGGGGACCTCTCTTGTTGTGTAGGTAGCTTTCTTTCTTTCTCTTATAACGTTGCGCAATAATCATCATCATTTGTTATAAAAGAAATGAGCATATACGTGAAAATATTGGAGTAGCTCCAGTGGAAGATAAGATTAGTGAGAGTTGCCTTAGGTGGTTTGGTTACATTAAACGGAGGCCTTCCGATGACCCTGGTTAGGAATGTTGAGGTATTATATTTGACTTATGTTAAAAAAGGTAGAGGTAGACATAAAAAGATCCTTGGTTAGAAAATATTAGAAATGATCTTTCTTTATTAGATTTAAATGAGAATTTGATTTTTAACCGGACACAATGACGAAAAAGGATTCATGTAGCCGACCCCACGTAGTGGGACAATGGCTTGATGTGTTGGAATTAGCTAGTGATATGCATAATATGTGGAAATGAGCTAGTGATATGCATAATTATGATCTCAGATGGGGTGATCTCGGTAGTTGGGTAAAGATAGTGAGATCTTAGAGAGATCGGGTTCAATCAATTTGTTCAATCCAATTCATTCAAAAGGTTTGTCTTATCATATAGTATGATTAAAATTGTGCTAGTTGATTAGGGAGATGTCCATCCCGAGATCTCAGACGGATGTTGATTAGAGAGATGTTGTAACCTTAAAGAAAGACGAGATCTTAGACGGTTGTTACCTTTTTCATTGACAAAATTTGGTATTTTCAATTAAATGCATAACTTAAAAATATTGAAGCGTCATAGTAATATCAGTTCCAATAAATGTTACAACATTTTCTAATATATTCAAATTATATGTAGGTCATATTATGGATATCAGAACTCAATGAAGTTGAATGTATAATCGATTGGCGTAAGGATGAAAGACATTAACGGATGAGTTCATTAGAGGGGTGAATATTTTTATTCAGACAGCTTCTTAATTACCCAATTTCATCTCAGATGGAAAGTTTCATTGCCCATGTTCTAAACATAAAAATCAGGTGCTCCTAAGCTCAAATAACGCAACTGTTGATCTATATCGTCGAGGCTTCATACCAAAATATTGGTATTGGACTTCACATAGTGAGTATGAACCATATTTCGATTCTCGATGCTGCCCATCGATAAGTGCTACTATAGATGTGGAAGAATATATCATACCTAATATTGAGGACTTAATTCATGATGCAAGTGGAGCACAATTTGAGCAATATACAGAAGAGTCACCTAATAAAGAAGCACAAAATTTATGGGTTAGGCTCACAAGCGGTAGAAAGAATGTAGCACGACAGAGTATACGGGTTAGGCTCGCAAGTCTATGCATATGAAGGACAGACATCTAGTGGCTCCAATTTTTCATCTAGTACACAGGACTCTTTATATACCCAACAAATAGCTGCCCTTATAGTCGAGCTAGAACAGGTAAGAAAAGAACAAACTGATTGGCAGTTGCAAATGCAGCAGCAACAGCAAGCTCAAATGTTAGAAGAAATGTGAAAGATGAGGGAGCAGCTTAGTAGTGGGAGGAGTACAACATCAACTGAGGATGAAACTGAATCAGAATAGATGTTATTTATCTATTTTACTAATGTAGACATCTGTTTCTATTTGTTTTTTGTTATGTTTATATGTGTTGTTTGAACATCTTGTTTCTATTTATTGTGTACATGTTTAGTTATTTGTTGTTTCGACATATTTAATTACGTAATTGGTGATGTTCTTGATCATAATTTGATGTGTAAATGCATATTGTGTTGTATTTTCTTTTATGCAGGTTTTTTTGTGGAAATCACTTTTCAAAGAAAGGAAGATTTTTTTTTTCTTTATGCTTCAGGTTTCCAGTGGATATTCCGCCGAAATGTCTATCGGTATGACGATACGTCTGTTCCAGCATAACATCCGACGGAAATGTTGGTGGTTATTTTGACGGTACTATCCGACGGTAACGAAACTGTGGACCTCCAAAAGAGCACCGCTACGACTGCAAGATTGCGGAAGGCATACAACCGCACCTACCCCGTGGGATAGAGACGATCGCGGGCCTCCGCGCTCCTCACAAATGGGCCAAGTGGAATGGCAGATTAGACCTTGCATACGATTAACCATGGAGGATAGCGGCTCTAGCCAGCGCATCTCGATGGGTAATAATATGCACGACCTGATCATAATCACGGTTTTCCCCCACCCGATATATCAGCTCGAAATGGGGTTTATGAGATGATGGAATTCAGTTTCCCACGGGCGCAAGCCCCCGTGGTTAATTATATCTCAGGCCAAAGCCTAAGAAGACTCTCGATTAAGGATCATACATTATCCTTCTTAAAGTGGGACTGACACAAGAGTATAGACTAAGAAGTCCCACTCAAAGGAAAAGGAATGGCTCAAGTGGCTCAGTCAGCATGCGTGGTTTACACCAGCATTCGGAGGGACTAAGGTAGTAAGAAGAAATTAGTGAAAATAAAAGTTAGGCAATCGACACATGCGTGAGAGAAAAGATGGAGGTGACATCATCCATGTGATGCATATAAGCAAGATTTATAGTCCCTGAAGGATAGGGAACTTACCCACTATTTAGGCATACTACGAGACCGAATGTAGTAGCATTGAATCCTAAATCTAGTTTGGGTTTAGTATTTAACGAACAACACTAGAACCCGTATCCTAACTAATGCAGTGCAAAACCTGGACTTACCCTGGCTTGGATTGGGGAGCCAGCTAACCACCTTATCGATTTAAAACCATGCTGTCAAGTCATTTTATGAA